TTGCATACTGAATTAAAGGATAGTTGGATGATTTTGAGTTATGGCTGAAAGTGAACAGGCATTCAGCGTAGCTTGTTCAGTACATGGAAAATATGACACCGGTAATTTGACTCTGTCAGCAGTCCTGCTGATGCTCCAGTGTATACACTTGCATCAGGTTAAACTGTAGTCCTGCCCTTCTTTTGCCCCATTAACTAAAAACCTGAACTCTGTCAATCTTTCAAAACGGAATTTAGGATGGCCCATTTCCACTTGCAAATTATTTTCTTCCAGATGTTTAATCTCTCAATTAGATTGGATTGTTGTCTAGAAGGGGTAGGCCATGTGTCTTTTGTTTTTGCAGGTTGTTGCTCTTGGGCTTTAATCTGTGTTGGACACAGGGCTCTAGTCGGGGGGGAGCTCTCAGGTACGGAGCTCCGGAAGAGAACCTCTAGGGGGCGGGGCGGTCACGTGGTGAAGCCCCGCCCCCTTCTTTACCCCGCCCTCTGCTTCGATCCTCATTCCGTTTGGGAATGAGGATGAAGCAGGAGGGTAAGTAGCCGGGCCTTCTGACACACTTCCGGTGATGTCAGGGGGTGTGGCCTTCTGTCACTTCCGGCGATGTCAGGGGGCGTGGCATATGCAAATAAGTTATGCTAATGAGTTATGCTAATGAGCTCCGGCAGCTCTTTTTCTACAACAAGACCCCTGGTTGGACATATAAAACTACTTTGATTTTGTGATAAAGTGGCATAGCAAAATTGTAAAAAAACCCCACTGCTTCTTAATTCTGAGGATGAGGGGGAAAGGGAAGCTGCCGTGAGGAAAAACTCTGTACATCCTCTGTGATACCTTTATTACTGCAAATGTTTATCCTTAAGAACTCTGTGGTATGGGTTTATTGATTGATGTTCAGTAAGTCAGCTGTTGCATTGTGTCTCAGTGATCTTCAGCTGTAAAATGGGATCAATGTCCTTTAAGTAGTATGAATACAAAATGCTGTCTGGATGTATATTTCACATATTTGCTTTGCTTCACTGCTTTTTTCATCTAGAACCATCATGCATGGTTTGTATGCATGCATTCTAGTGCTGTCTTTCTACTTGCAGCCCATTTAAGTCTGGTCTCCTTTGCATTGGCACCACCATTATGTGCCAAATTTTACATGCTAGACTTTACCCGTGAACCAGAATGCACTTCTTTCATTTATGGAATGCTGGAAATATGGAGCGTGAGAGGGACACATTCTTCATTTCGGAGTTTTTACAACAAATATCTTCAGGTTGGGTAACCGATTTTTTTCTGGTTCCTCCTTCCTGCAATTTAATGTCACTTTGAAAGTACATTTTAGCAGAATGTGTAGTTTCCTGAATCCTATCTGGCCCAAGCACAATCCTTTTATTGGCCACAGCACAATTTATGGAAATATATAATAGGAGAATTGTCTAAATATTTTCAGACATTTTCCCTTCGTTTTTCATTAGTTGATAGAGAAAATGAATGCTACGATGATTTGTTTGCATTATCAATGGAAAATGGTCTTTATACATATTCATTGATAGTCTGGTTTAATTTTTTTTTAAATTTAGCTTCTGTGATCACCAAGTCTTCTCTAAAAATAAAAAGTTCTTTGACAGCAGACTCATGGCTTCTTCATTCTACCGTTCTCTTATACTTTTTTGTCATAAACTGAGAAACAAAAGTCTCCCAGCTAAAATATTTTATTTGGAACTTCTGTTAAATATCAAAATAAAGCCAACATTATTCATTTTTATAGGGATAAGGGCTTGAAATTTTGGCAGGGCACAAGAGAGACATCTTTTTAAACGGATGATATCATAGAAGAGGACAAATTATAATGTTCTATTGGTAATTGATGGTTATTTGTTGATTCTTCTATTATCTGGCCAAAGCTCATAAAAGTAATAAAGGCTTGTAATTGTTAAAATTAAATTATTTGTTTTATTGTGTAACAAGTATTTTAATGCTGCCTATTGCAACTTAGAGCTTCTTAATTTTGTCTCTCTTCTGAAAGGATATAATTAGTAAATTGGCTTTCCTACTAAAATATTACTTGAGGGAAAAAATACACAAGCTGTGTTGTCTTTCCAAAGGCGCTTATACAGTGTTGGAGTCATAACTTGCTTAAAGGTTGTACTTTAACTTTTTCTTGTGATAAAATGACAATATATAATGTAGTTGTCTGGAAGTAACCTTCTTGTTTTCATTTTTTAAAAAGCTGCATGCATACATTTCGTCAGTCCTCTGGGGCTGCATCTATTCAGTGATCTTAACCTGTGTTTCAAGGAACTTTGAAGTTCCTTAAACAGATGTTCAGACTTTCCTGAAATCTTTCTCTGTAATGCATACCAAAGGAAACTGTTTCGTGTATTCTATGGTAAACTCCACTTATGGTAAACTCCACTTATAGGGGGCCACATATCTTTGTACTAAGTCAACACACATAGAAGAAGAAGAAGATTGGATTTATACCCTGCCCTTCACTACCCAAAGGTGTCTCAGAGCGGCTTACAAACTCCTTTCCCTTCCCCTCCCCACAACAGACACCCTGTGAGGTAGGCAGGGCTGAGAGAGCTCTTGACAGAAGGACAGCTCTTATCAGAACTACGGCTTGCCCAAGGTCATCCAGCCAGGTGCAAGTGGAGGAGTGGGGAATCAAACCCGGTTCTCCCAGATTAGAGTCCGCGCACTTAACCACTACACCAAACTGGGGAGGACTGAGCGTGCTGGTTCAAATTCCTCTCGCAAATAGGTGTACTGTTCCCACCCCTCTTATGTATTTTTGTTTGATAGCAGGCTATTTGCATGTACAATTTGTACACATGTAGCTATTGTCCTGTCCCCTGGGGTCAGAAGCATACAATCAGGAAAGTTTCTGATTATGCAGATGCATAGGTGTTGTTAGCACAACTACACCTCCAGAATGTATCACTACAGAAAGTATTTATCCCCCATTAGACCTGCTTCTTGGTTTGCTGGGTGTAGCACCCTCTGGGGGCAGGGGACATCCATGGGTCTTGAAAGTACCAGCTAAGCTGCTAGTTTCTTACACAGGCCATTTAATTCACCTGAAGATGCCGATACCTTCACCCACCTCAGCATTACATTTTATAACACGAGAAAAGAGCTGCAACCTGCTTCTTTCTTCTCCTCTACCCAGCCTCCTCCCATTTCCCTCTTCCTCCCTTTTATAGCCCCAGCTTCACTCCTAGGCCTTGAGCTAAACTCCATCCTCCTTTTCTCTGTTCCCTCTCCCTGCTGTTTATAGCCATGACCTGATTTAAACCACCATGTCTCAGAGAGCTTATTCCTCTCCCTTCCAGGCTTGCTCACTGCCTCCACACCTTCTGACCCTCCCTGTCAAAGCTGCCCTGTTGTTGAGATTACCCCGACCACAGCCTCCTGACCTGGCCCCCACCAGGTGGGTCATTGCTGGGTAACCCAGCACACTGGGTCTTCTGCACTCTCTTGTTTGTACCAATGTACATCTTTGTGAGCAGGGCTCCTTTTGTAGAAAAAGCCCAGCAAGAATTCATTAGCATAATAGGCCACACCCAACAGCAAGAACTCATTAGCATATTAGGCCACACCCTGACAGCACCGCTCATTAGCCCATCAGGCCACCCCACCATGTTACCAGAAGTGTGGTCATCCAGACACACCCACCTTTCCCTTCTTATTCTGTTTACCTTGTTTGTTGTCAAAACCCAGGGCTTTTTTAACTCCTTTGCATGTTAGGCCACACACCCCTAATGTAGCCAATCCTAATGAGTTTCTGCTATTGGGCGTGGCCTATGATGCTAATGAGTTCCTGCTGGGCGTGGCCACCTCGGGAGCCAGCCGGAACTCCGTTCCTGTGCGTTCCTGCTCAAAAATAGCCCTGTTTGTGAGATAGATACAAATTATGTTTTCTGCTTGTGAAGACTAATGCTTTATCCATTAGGTAAAGTGGGCTTTGGTTCATGGAAGCTATTTCACAACACATTCCTTAGACTGTATGATGCCCTGAAGACACTTTGATACCAATTTAGTTGCATGTTGATCAGACAAGATCATATTCTTTTGTGAACCTCCTCATAACCTGGGAGGTGTCTCTGAACTAAGGAATGTATTGATGTGGGAGAGGCATCTAAGGCCTCTGTGTTCTGTTGCTGAGATGTGGAGGTAGTATGATCATAATGAGTACTAGAGAGAGTTTATGTTACCTATCATAAAGGAGTTTTTCAGGGGAACCCAATAGATGTTGGATGGGACTCAAGTCACTCTTCCTTGAAACTCTCTTTATATACCATTATGATCCCTTGTGACAACTGGTTTACTGGGTCATCGTCTAACAAGAGATGGTTCCAAGCTCTATGGATGGTGTGCATTAGTCTGTGTAAAGTTTGGAACTTTTCCTCTGGTCTGTCCTCCAGTCAAAATGTAAAAAGAAAACCACCACATTTTCCATTTTTAGTACAAATATTGCATTGGATACAACAGAGGCTGCAAAGATTGTGCATAAATCCTGGGCTCCCCTCTCCCCAGTAGTCTTTTTCAACTCTGGGAAAAACCCCAGTCACAGGACTGATATGGATTAATAGCCAGGTAGGCTGAGATGAGAGGAGAAAGGGCCAAAATTGTCCTTTTCTTCTGACAGCACAGCTCCAATGACAGAAGAAGCAACAAGTGATTTTGTCCCCTTTTCCTTTCACACTGCTGCTCCTTGATCCATAATGTTTGGGGGTTTTTTCCCCCTTCAGTGCAGAAGCTATTCATGTAGGCCCTGCAATCATGGGAACTGATTTTTGCAGGGTCAGGTTGGACTGCTCTTGGGAGGGGCATGCAGCAAAGATTTGCAATTGTCAGTGTCTTCCAATGACAGATCACTGGATACAACTAATTAAAATACTGGAAAAGTGCAGGAACCATGCCATCCAAAATACTTTGTGCAAGTGCTCAAAAATCTGATTTGTACCTTCATATACAATATTAATTGTTTCTCTTCTCTCCCCTAATAGATTCATCTTGCATGGAAAAGCTACTTTCTAAAGACTGGAAGGAGAAAATGGAAAGATTAAACTCAAGTGAACTCCTTGGAGAAATCAAAGGTACCAAATAAGTCAGACATATTTTAATTTGAAAAACAGTCTTCAAACATTTTTTAAAATAATGCAAAAGTCTCCAGTTGATCTGAACTCTCAAGAATATTAATGTAAATGCTGTGCTTACAGTGAAGGAAATGTTTGGGGGTTTTTTTCCCTTCAGTGCAGAAGCTATTCATGCATTTTGTGGGTATGTCAAGGTGTATCGCATTTTGTAGACCTGGTGTGTCTTGACATCACTGAGCCCTGCAAATAATGTTTTAGCTTGTACTTGTCTACTATTTTACTCCTTTTGGCCAGCAGGGACTGTTACAGAAGTGGTGTAAGATGTTAAATCTGCACATGAGAACAATCTTCTCCTGTAGTAAATCTGGTAGTTAGGGACTGGAGCTATTCTGGGAGAAAGTTACCTATATTTCCATAGGATATCTCCCACACTTCCAGTTGCAAGACAATGTGTCCAGCCATGAGCACATACCTACTTCCTGGATGTTACCTTAGGTTACAATTCTCAAAGTCCTTCAGAATAATCCCATGTCTGTTTTAGCAGTGTGCCTTAAGAGACTTTGAGCAGACTTTTTTTTGTTTGCTGTATTTTCTGGAAATTAGGAAGTTTAAGTATCTTGTTTTTATTTTTTATTTTTGTTTAGTAACATCATTTGCTTCCTCAATAAGGATTATTTACTGATAGCTTAGAATAGTTCAGTGAAGCAAAACACTAAGAAGAAAATAGATTAAGCTATTAGTAAAAATAATGTTGATTGTAAGAATGAGGTGTGGTTCTGTGAGGAAGAGCAGTTCTTTGCACCGACTGTTACTGAGGAGTTGTTTACTCTAGAAGGAAGACGTTATTCGTGAGGATAAATGAAGCACACACTCTCCCTTTGAAAAAGTGCCCTTCTGCTTCAAGACTGGCATCTGAGTTATGGGGAAGGGTGCCAGGAAAAAAGGGAAAAGGCAGTCATGCCAGCACCACACATTTGCAATGTTATGCATGTTTGACAGAAATATATAGAAGATTTTTAAAAGTTACAACTGCAAAGCATGTATTGTAGTCTTAATATGGGCATTTAATAGTTGCCATAATTGTTAAAATTCTGTACGATCATCTGTTATAGCATTGATAAGGCAAAAGTAAAGAAAAAATGTTTATTTTTCTGGCATGTTCCTTTGTTCACAGTTACTCCTATATTGTATTGAAATATGCCACTTGGAATTGGTTCTTAAGAGGTCTCAGTGAAATGAATTGCAGCTCCATGTTCTTTTTTGTGTGTAAAATTTATGTCCGTATTTTTTTCTATCAGTGAATGTGTGGAGGTCTGCCCATAAACTGTAAAATCTGGGTCAGAGCCAGTGTTCCCTCTAAGCTGAGTTAGTGTAAGCTAGCTCACAGTTTTTTAGCCTCCAGCTCAGAGATTGTTGTCTTAACTCAGGAAGGAGGGCTCCAGAGCAAACTAATTTATGTAGTAGCCAAATCGTTTGCTCACAACTTTATTGCCAGTAGCTCACAAAGTAGAACTTTTGCTCACAAGACTCCATAGTTTAGAGGGAACATTGGTCAGAGCCCTAAGAAATAGAGATCTACCTACTTAAATCTTGGTAATAGTTCTGAGTTTGTCTGGGTAGGAGTTGCATGATCACAACTGTGAGTATCCAAAGACCTATGGAACTAGTTTTGTTAACTCAAGTGGGGCAATATATTTCCTTTCCGCCAACATCAAGCCGTCATGCCAGGGGTCAACAGCATGGTGCTCACAGGTGCCATTGCGTCCACCAGTGCCTTTCCTGGCACGCACCAAGTGTTTTTTTATAAACTGTGCAGGGCCAAGTAGGACTTTTCTGGTTGGCTGTGCCTCCTGTGGCAGCCACTTCGTGGTTGGCTCCCCTTCCGGTGGCAGCCATTTTCTAGTTGTGTCCACCACCCTGTGTCAGAATTCTAAAGGTGCCTGAAGGCTCAGAAAGTTTGGAGACTGTAGTTCCATGGATGAGCAGACCTCAAGTCCAGTGATCAGCTCTACTTTATTAGTGATTTCAGCAAGAACAAGACAAGACTCCAGGGCTGCAGCCCTGTTTAAATAGCATGCAATTGCCACACCCAAACACACCCTGCTCCCAATGATAGCAGGCCCTTAGCCAGGATTTTCTAAGTCGGGGGGGGCATTTAAACTTCTTGGGGGGCACTGGCTAATCAAATTAAAGGAATATTCAGTTCCTTCCCTGCACCCGCCACCACTTGGGGGCCCTGGGCTGGATGGGAAGTCGTGGGGCCCTGCCAGTAACTCAGGGGGCATAGCCCCGAGATGCCCCACTGTAGCTACGGGCCTGAATGATAGGCTATTTATATAACATTACTTTTAAACTGGTTACTTCCAGAATCCTGGTGGGCTATTGTTCTAAGGCTTCAAGCTCAGCCCGTCTCTGGTAGAACAGTCCTGGAATGTTTCAGTCCCAATACATAACAGAGACCCCTGTCTCATGACATGGGACAAACTGGTTGTTGTTTTTTTTTTAAATGAGTGGCTTCTCAAAACAAGGAGATATGGTCTGTTCCACTATTAACTAAAAAAAAGTAGCTTTTGTAGCAGTATTCCTGTGTAATTTCAAATACAAAATTATAGAATGGGTTTGTTTACTTTTTTTTTTTTAAAGAAACAGGCTCAAGTCTCCTAAGATGATTTGGGGCTGCTCACTTGTATTTCCCTCCATTTTTTACCTTTCTAGCCAGTTTGGTGTAGTGGTTAAGTGTGCGGACTCTAATCTGGGAGAACCGGATTTGATTCCCCACTCCTCCACTTGCACCTGCTGATGTGACCTTGGGTCAGTCGCAAGCTCTGGCACAGCTGTCCTTGAAAAAGAGCAGTTTGTGTCAGAGTTCTCTCAGCCCCACCCACCCCACAGGGTGTCTGTTGTGGGGAGCGGAAGGGAAAGGAGTTTGCAAGCCGCTCTGAGACACCTTTGGGTAGTGAAGGGCGGGGTATAAATCCAATCTCTTCTCTTCTTCTCTTCTTCTTCCAATGAAATGTCAGCAGGAGTGGTGTCATATATCACCATAAATAGTTTGTTTTTAGTTTTATTCTTTTATACGTCATTGTAAATCTTTTTAAAATCGGAATCCTGTATATGTCTTGCTCTTGTCCCACTGAAACGGCCTAAGTGGTTTTTCTCAATACACAGGCCTTTCAAGATCAAATATACAAGGTCAGTCTCTAAGTAACAAACAGCTGTGTTATCTCCAAGAGTCAAGATTGTTCTAGCAAATCCATAGATGAATGGCTTCTGGGCCACTATCTACTGTGTGAAGTATTCTGTCTTCCATTTCTGGAGGAGGACACTACTGGAACATAATCTATATTTATAGGCATTGTGGCTCAAATGTCACATGCAGTCTTCTTTTGTACTATTTTGGGGATAGACATTGACTGATGTGAATAGCTTTGCTCACTTCAAAAATGTGCTTGCATTGTATGGACCTGTTACTTGAATACAGTCTTTTAGTTTCCCATAGACTTCATAGTCACTTTTGTTTATATTATCGGGCCTTCTCTCTCTCTCTTTTTTTTTGTAAAAAAATGGCTAATGTGTATGATTTGTAATTTCAGTGGTCTAAATGTAGCTAGCAAAGAGAAAGGCTCATGCTGGTTTCTAGACTTTTACAGCTTGACAGAGAAGACATGCTCATTCCATTCAGCGCGAGAGCCCCACTGTAAAATCATTGTGCATATTCCTTGATCCATATCAGGTTTCATGCTAATGGCATGCGATAGGAATAGCAGCTTCTTTTTCAGTAGCTGGAAGAAGAGAAATATGAGGAATAATGCTATGTGTATTATAATAATGTGCAGGATTGGTGACCCTTCTATGGATGTTCTCATTGCAAGTGCTGCCTCCTGGTTTTAGAGGAAGGTTTAAAAGAGGGTAATTACTATTATGCATGTATTAAGAATTCAGAAAGAGAAAAGTAGTCAAAAGGTCAGCATGCATGATACTAGAATGCACAGATACTGTTGCCAGTCATTGGCTGGCAACCAGCAGGGGTTAGGGGAGGGCAGGGAAATGGGAGGTACTATTGGCACAATGGCATTATGTTACTTCCAGGGAAAACCTGGAAGTAACATCCGTCCACTCAAGGAATTACTTGAAACATTATCATTTTACCATAGAATTTCTGTTGATTCCTAGAGTAGACTGACATCATTTCTGGGTTTCCCCTGGAACTGATGTAACACTGTTGCTCCGACAGTAGTTTCCCCCCCAACAGAGCAGTGGCGGGAAATGGGAGTTCGGGACAGGAGATCCCCCCTGCCCCCACCAGTATTCTGGCTTTCCTAGCATGGGAACATTGTGGGCTATGGAAAGCTGTAACTATTACCATGTTAGTTTTCTTATAGTTTATCAAGTATACATTGAGATTATTTCTCCAATAGTGCTAACGATCCTTGTGGCATACCATGAGTATATACAGCAGCCTACTTTACAAATATATATGGCTTGTATATCACAGGAGCAACCATAGGTTTTCAATTATGCCACTTTTGGTTGTAGACATTTCAAAGCTCTACTTTGTGCTCTGTGTTATAAATGTCTTTTGCTTCTTTTGAAGTCTTCATGATATACGTACGAGCAATTAAAAACACAGCTCAGGGTTGGAGGAACAACGGCTTCTTAATTAAAACTCAAACAAAAACTACAAGGAACCCTCACCTCCAGTGCTCTGTGATCAAGGTCTAAAGTGTTGGGATATGTTAGAATAGTTGCTAACTGCCAGGGTTTAAAAAATCAATATAGAGGAAAAAGATTAGGTGGTTTCAGTTTCAGAAATCAGCATAAATACTGAACAGAGGAAAAGTCCTTAAAACTTACTAACAAGTACTGATTAGTAATATACTATAGGCAGGGGTCATTTCGTAGAAAAAGAGCTAGGGGGACTCATTAGCATAACTCATTAGCATATGCCACACCCCCTGACATCACCGGAAGTGTGTCCTCCCCACAGCCGGCGGCGACCT